CCGGCTTGTGATTCTTCCAGCCTGGCATTTCTCATGATGTACTCTGCATATAGGTTAAATAAGGAGGGCGACAGTATACAGTATACAGCCTTGTCGTACTCCTTTCCCTATATTTTGAACCAATTGGTTGTTCCATGACTGGTTCTAACTGTTCTGTTGCTTCTTGGCCCGCATACAGATTTCTTAGGAGACAGGTAAGATGGTCAGTACACAATAACTGTCACTAATTTATAATTTAAACCAGAAAAATAATAGTTTGGCCACTTTTCTCTCAAATGTAAACCTAATATTTTATACTTACAGGAAGTAGCTTACATTGCAGATTTTTGAACTTGCTGTTTCCACAGTCACAACGGAAGTTTCTGGAAGAAAAAAGAGCAAATTTTGAAAGATGTTAGTGTCATGATCTTCCACGATACTTAAAGCAAGCCATTTACAAACTATATTCATATTGGATGGAAAACTTCAAAAAATTATAAATTGTATTTACTGTCCAATTTTTTTGAAACCAAAATACATGTCTATATAGTAAGTATTTACACAGCTAATTAAGTTATACAGTAATCCTAAAGATATCATGAAGTTAAAACAGCTCTCTAACCTCTAGAAATATATATTTTGGCTATATCTTGTTGTACTGAAGTAGCACTATGTTCTTCTCTAGCTGGAAATTCGGAACTTAAAAATTACATTTATTTACTCAAACATTTCACTTTTAAAATACATTCATTTAATAATATCCTGTGTCCAATAAATCTCTAAGGTAAATGTCACAAAAGTTATATCAGATATATATGTTAAAAAATGTAATTGTATTCTAGTTTAAATTGTTGAAGACTGATAACTTGGCAAATAAATTGGCTTAAAAATGATAAACTTATTTTCTCTTTGGTTACCTTTTGGTATATAACTCAAATAACTTGTGAGAGCCATGGCATTCATAGCTGCATGCTAAACAAATTCCTGCTGGTTCTTCACCTGGTGGTGTACATGTACTGCAGGCATACAATGCCTGCCTCTTTACAGCACCCTGGAAAGACAACAACAGCATAATAATGAACAGCTGGGAAAAGTACCATACTAAGATTCTGCCTTTACAGACAAACCCCAAGAGCAACAAACCCGTGGGCAGAAATTAAATATAGTTTCTGTTCTTACTGGAGGTTTAATAATTTCTCCAGAATTCTTAAGTAGCTATGTCACAAAACATAGATCACTATACTTACCTTATACCTAATTCAACCAGGAATAAGTGATTGTAATACAATTTCCATTTACCCAAGTAGATAAACAGCAAATATAAAAAGACTGCAATTAAATAATGTTCTATCAGATAACACTGGAAACTGAAACAGACAGATAACTCAGCTTCTACTCTTTATTTCTACGGAAGCAACAAGGAGCTATAACAAAAAGAAAAGCAATGATACAGTATTCATCAACTGTAGCTATTGTTTGTGAAGCACATATAATTAGGATATACTCTATATAATATTTTTGTAACAAGTGAACTATAAACAGTTTACAATTAATATTTAATTTCCCATTCTCAGTACCAAGCTATTGCTGTAAAAACACTGTAACAGGAAATAAGTGTTCTTGAATAAAAAAAGCCCTAACAAAAACTACAGCATATCGCTGTACAAAATACTATATATTGAGTCCTTGCTATGACAGATGTGACTTTACCTTTTTGGCTGTCTTTTTCTACCAGTATCATATACCAAAATGTTTTTGTGTGGTAGAGTCCATCTCATAGTTTATGTTGCCCATAATACATATGGTAGTTTAAACTTATACCAACTTCTTTTGTTGAGAAAGAATTAAAAAACACACACATTTACTTCTGTTAAACATGTCTGGAAAACTGTGTAATTAAAAGTATAAATACAGAAATTTAGCATATTTCAATTATTGTTAGAGCCAGTAAATTATTGGTTGATTACAGTGAAACAAAATAAAACCTAAAGACCAAAAAGATGACAAGATCTCCTTGACTGATCTCAGCTTTAAATAACCAGTTTGGTGTAGTGGTTAAGGCATCAGCTAGAAACCAGGAGACTGGGAGTTCTAGTCCTGCCTTAGGCATGAAGCCAGCTGGGTGACCTGGGGCCAGTCCCTCTCTCTCAGCCCTAGGAAGGAGGCAATGGCAAACCACTTCCAAAATCCTGCCAAGAAAACTGCAGGGACTAGTCCAGGCAGTCAACAGGAGTCAGCAATGACTCCAAGGCATGCACCCACACACAGAGGAATATTTAGGAAGGTTGTTATCTTCCCTTTTTCACCAGACTGCTATTTTGATACTAGTAACAGCTTGTGAGATACTTCCATGCCCCCCAACAAGTCTTTCTCCAACTTCCTACCCCCGAACTCCCCAGATATTATGCTCTGCAACTCCCATCATCCGCAGCCAGCAGAGGCATCGGCTTTGCTGGCTAAGAATAAGAGAGCGGTAGTCCGACATACCTGAAGGCAATAGGTTAAGGAAGCTTTCTCAAGCGCCTCGCAGAAGCAACCTTTCCACCACGCCGGGCTCAGCCACCACCCCGCTCGTCTCACCTGAGAGTAACTGCAGCGTTCGTGGTCGCTCCCGCCGAGCACGGCGCGCGCTTCATTCTCCAACTCCTCGTTTTCGGCCAGCACCTCGGCTAGCGACACGACGGGCTCCTCGGTGTTCCTATCCCCCTCTTCGCCGCCAGTGGAGGTGTTGCTGTCGTTGCCGCCGTCCTCTTCTGGCGCGCTAGAAGCAGCTGTCGCCCTTTCCATCTCCCTGATGTAACTGCTTCCTTTGGTCCGTCGTAAGAACCTGGAGGCGGAGGAGGAAAAGGCGGGAAAACGCTAACCCGCCACCAGGCGACGCCTCCGCGCGCACCGGAAGCGGAAAATAAGTCGCGACGAAGAACAAACGGGGGTGCGCACGTGGGCGACGGAAGCCAATCAGAAAGGCGAATGGAGATGGAGACACTGCACTCCTCCTTTGAATAGCGTATCAACAACAAAAGTGGGCGGGAACTGGATGACGTATGTGCGCTGAATTAGGAAGGGAGAACTGGAAAAGCGACCCGACGCTTCCTGTTGTTTTTTCTGCCGGTTTCGTCAGAAGGGATACGCTGAGCTGATTGGTTCCTCGTTTGCGCCGGGAACTGAGCGATGGAGTTGCAGGCGGAGCTGACTGGCCGCGATGGTTTGAAACGAGCATGGCGGGTTCGATGTGACCCTCAGGGGGAACTGCGGGGCCTGCTCGCGGGCTTGTCTCAGCTGCGGGAGGAAGTCACCGCCCTGCTCGGCCCTCTGGTGCAGCAGGAGAGCGTCGCTGCCCCTGGAGTCCGAGGTGAGGACGGAGGTGAGGGGCTGATTTCAGGAACCAGTTTTTGTCCTTCCTTGGGATTATGATGGCCATTTTTACTCTGCGCATGAAGAACGGAGATACCTGTGATGACAGATCTGGCAGCTCTATTTTAGCTTGCAAATGGAGGAGGACATTTTGGGATACTGCCTCATACAAAGCAATTACTTTCAACGACATTCAGTAAAGGGGCACATCAGGGCCGAAAGTTTACTCTAAACCCAATTGTTGTGCTAGTTTTCTGCCTGAAACGCTCCGTTCTGTCATTTAAAACGTATTTTATTACGTTTATGTATCCTGAGCGTGTGTGCATCTTCTACTTAGTGAGATGCAGACATACTGGCTTGCAGAGTAATTTACAGATTAGAGTTCTTAGTGAGCATGTTTGGGATAAAATTGGGCTTTGATTGTGCTTGTGGCATACTGACCCAGATGTGCCAAAACTGACCAGTGTTGCCCTTACTGTTAGCAGGGAATGTTGCATTTTGTCATGGATGCAATTAAGGTTTGGTAACCTATTCCACATCCTTCTATCTTACTAAAGAGAGTTGTGTGAAAGTCTTGCCCATCATGGATGGAGGATATCAATATCTGTGGGTCCAATAGGTTATGACAATGGCCTATGGAAGATACAGCAACTTGAAATGTAAAAGGAGTAAATAGTAAATACCATAAATTAACATACATAATAAAAAAAAAAGTCTGACTGTCTAAGAGAAAGGGGAAGGATGTAATAGACTTGAATGAAAGTGTCCTGATCTTATGGAGTGGACTAGAATTGATGAATACATGCAGAGAAATTAAGGTGTAGGTTTAATTGTGAATGAAAGGGCTAAAGTGTATGTCAGAAAGTATAAATTGGTGTCATCCAGTTGTTAGTGCATATGAAAGTAGGAATTCATATGTTAGTGACAGACAAAAGAGATTGGCCCATTTATAAAACCAAGAATAAATATTGTGATTATTTTGTTGGATTAACTTGAGATCCTTAAAAAAAGGTGAGTTAATCATGTATCTTTAAGAAAGGATGTAATGCCACTTGCTTTGAAGACAGCAGTAATGCACCCTCTCTTGAAGCCATCCCTTGACCAAGTCATTCTGGCACTTTCACTCAGTTTCCAACCTGCCCGTTTTAGAGAAGGTTGTTGAGTATGTGGGGTGTTATTTACAGAGGATTATAGAGAAAATGGATTATCTAGATCCCTGGCACTCAGGATTCAAGCTAGGTCATGGGTTGGAACTGGCATTGGTCGCTCTGGTTGATGATTTTGCCATGTCCAGGGTGGAGGGAATGCATCTTTCTCAGTCCTCTTAGATCTCTCAGCAGCATTTGATAACATCCACCATTGTATCCTCCTGCAAAGGATGAAAGCTGGAAGCACTCTTTACAGTGTTTTATTCATGTGTTCTACTGCTGGCAGAACACCCCCACTAATTGTAGGATATTGTTACTGGAGCGGTGGTGGCCATGGTTAATAAGCCCCTGCAGATATCCTTCTAGTGTTCTCTGTCCTGACCAGATGCTGCAAATTCTTACTGACAATAGTGTGTAACTGCCATGCTTTAGCCTCTATTTGGCTGATCCAGGTCTTTTCTGGAACATTTTTGTAACTTTCCAACCAGATGGATGCCACCTTTTCAGAAGTTGCCTGGACAGACGTGCTACATTAATTCTGCAGATATGCCCAAACCAACAAAGGTGTGATTGCCAGATTGTCAGCTATGGACTAATGACTGCATATCTGTCAAATGTTCTTATTCCACCATCAATCATGTAAGGAAGTGCCCAGGATTATCCTAAAACATCTCATCTGTAATTTCCATAGGTGCTGAGTAAGCTGTATCCATATTTGTGCTGTGTGGAGCATGACTGGCATGATGGCTGCACTGAATACTTAACTCTTTATTTTCAGCTGATGTTTTCTTCTTCCAGAGACATCACTGTAAACTGACAAAAGCTGACTGAGCATTACCAATTCATGCAACATCAGTGAATCTGGCAACTGTTGATGCAGAGTCAAAGAGCTAGGTTTTTGAATTCATGCAGCTACTCAGTTGGCTCATCTCTAAAGGCCATGTTAATTTCTGAGCCATGAGTTGACATAGTCATGCTCTTTTTAAGTAGTCCAAGCCTCTCTGCCCTTTTGTTTATGAAATTTAATTATTCCAGTGCCTTCTGTTCTGATTCCTCTATGAAAACAGTATCATTGGCATATGTTGCATCTGTGAAATTCAATTCATCTGCCTCACATTGAACTCTTGTATGCCTGACAAGGCTTTTCTGCATTATCTAATCTTTCACCGTGTTGAACAACAGTGGTGATAGTACATACCCTCATCTCAAACTTATTTTGACTGTAAAGGGACCGGTTTTGTCACTGTGCACTTTAACTGTGTCCTAAAAAGCGGCAAAGACTCAGACAATTTTGCTGGGTATGCTGATCACCAAAACAGCTTTCCACATGGAGTCCCACTTGAAGCCATTAAAGGTAGTCTTGAAAACAATAAATACAGTAACAGTTTATTTGCCTGATGGTGAAAATATGGCTCACACAGCCATGGGTTGATCTGAAACCACTTTGTTCTTCCTGGGTGGAAATTCTCTCATCGGCTGTATATGTGTTCTGATAACCTACCTGCACAAGGATCTTTCCAACTATGGTCAGGAGGCTGATTTTGCAATAGTTTTCACATCATGCCTTTTTGATCTTTTTAAACATGAGCACAATATCGTCAAGTTTTAATATCCACATGAAATATTTCATTCAGATTCAAAGATTCAAAATTGTCAAATAAAATCATAGCCACTTTTTAAAATTTATTAGTAGCATTCAAAGTATATGTGATGCTGCTTCCCCCACCCCACCCCAAGATCTGGGTGGCTCCCACCCGGTTCGCATTTTGGAGCGCCTTGAAGAACCTGGCTCTTCACTCAGGATTTTGGCTAGGGTGGTTGAAGCCCCTTCTGAGTAGTTTATATATGTTTTCATTGTTGCCCAGTTTTGCCCTTTTCTTTTTTTTCTCCTGTCTTTGTTATATTGTTATTTTTTCTGTATTTTTACTTTGTGAACCATGCAGAGTCTGTAGGAGTCAGGCGGTATACATATTTTAATAATTCTGGTCAGGCTATATTGCCTTGAAAAGCTTATGATCTACATTCAGTAAAGAAATATCTGTATGACTCAGGATGAGTCAAATCATTTCCTTCTTTATTTTGCCACATTGATGGTGTCTCTGACTTCAGAACACTGCTCCTCTGCATTGTTATTGTTTTCATTTGGCTGCAGGTTATAATATTTGTTGTGCAGTTCAATCTGAAATGATTCTTGATATTGCTGAGATTGTAGTAAGTTCAGCTGGAATTGAGGTGATGGAGGGCAGTATGGTACAGTTTTCAATTTCAGTCTGATCTTCCACTGAAAAAGATAGTCAAACCTTTCTTCTATACCTCTCAGCACCCTGAGATCATTAAAAGCAGACTTAAAGCGCTTGCCTATCAGGAAATAATCAGAGAAGCAGAATTTAATGCTTGTGAATACCAAATTAATTGATGAAAAGGAGTTGGCCTGAATAAGCTGTTGCAAATGACTAGTGAGTTAATGATGCAAAATTTACCAGCTACAGTCCATTATTATTCATGATGCAGACCTAAACTTGCCCAAAATTTCTTGCCATAAAGTCTCTTTTTAGGCAGACCTTGGGCAAATTCTTTCAGTAATTTAGGATTTAATTAACCCAGCCATGGAGTTTTAAATTCATTCAAAGTAAATAGGTATTTCTTCACTACATTTCTTTCAATTTCAGTTAAAAAAGCAATCCTGTCCTTTATCCTGTCCTTCATATATGCCTCATGAAACACCTCTTTTCAGAGAAGACTGAGACAAAATAAGAATTCAGTGGTTTCACCTTTTGTTACTTGTTCACATTTTGCCATCTTCACTGAGCTTGTGGTATACTGATTTTTTTCCTCTGGTTTTATTTTGAATGTACTTCTTTTTGTTGTTCGCATCCTTCATTAACCTAAGCTTCTTCTAAGCTTTGGCCTTTTTGATAATATCCCTGCAGTTTCTGGATATCTCTGTATATTCTTCTGTAGTGATTTTTTCCCCCTTTTTATACCTTCCATAGGTGTCATTTTTCATTTTCAAACTTTCACTAAGCGTTTTTTTCCTTATGATCTTGTAGTTTTTTAAATTCCTTATTGGAATATAAATTGTGCTTTTACTTTCTCCTTTTGGGGGGATATGTATCTATCTTGGACCCGTTTTCCCATTGCTTCTCCTATCAGCAGATCCCTATTAATAATTGCTCTGAGTTTTTAAGTAAATCCAAGATACACGTATATTGACACTCACCTTTAGCTTGCCTTAATATGAAGAACTCCAGGACTGCATGGTCACATTTCTTGACTATTCCTGTTATTTCTGTTATATCTCACATATGGCCAATGAGTTTTCCTTTCGCCACATTGAGACCCACGTAACCAGCTTTCCCCATTTGGTATGCTCCATGGCACAGGTGTCTTAAGATTGCTGGGGATGCAGCCTTGGTCAGTGGTTGGGAGTTTATGTGTGGAACACACACACATTGCAATCTGATAATAACATCCAAGGAATCAACGATGAGAATCCTTTGTAACTCCCCTAGCTTTATTGAGTACAATATATTCAAGTTTTGTGTAAGCACTTTACACACACACACACACACACCCCTTTTTCTCTCATATACTTACTCAACCTTGCCAAGCAAGCTATCAAGGAGCCTGAGCAAAAATTACACGTTAAGGGATTACATAAGGCACTGTTCATACAACAGGAACAAGGCCATGACATAATTAACAGTGGCAGAGGAGTGTCGGTTAGAAAAGCCAGTATCAATTCTTAACCAATGTTGGGGACTACAGTAATGCCCTGGTCAGTCATGTTCAAACAGGAACAGGCAAGTTAACAGATGGTTAATTTTTTTCATCTGTCTACAAAAGTCTAGAGTAGCCTTCAAAAAGAAGTCTGCTCTAGGAAATATGTGGCCCTGTCATTTTCATATTTCATCCCCACTCACCCTACAACTGTAAAGGGAGTTAGAAAACCATTGGGAAGACTAAATTTCTATCTACAGTGATGCTGACTGTAAACTATTACGGATTTTATTCTGAATTTTCTGAAAAGTTTTATAGCAAAAAAATCAAAGTGACTACTTCCTAGCCATCTATTATTCACTAGGAGGACAATGAAAATGCCAGAATAGTTATCCTGCATTGCTGGTGTCTGTTGGTATGTATATACTCTGGGGAAGCATCTGGGTGCATCAGCCTGTCATTCAAACACAACCTAAAAGCACAACTAATCAAATATATCTAATGAAATACAGGTAGTCCCCAGATTAAGAATGCCCAGTTTAAGGACAACCCATAGTTAAGTACAGAGCCTATTGTAGCAAAATTTGAGTTAAATACACAATGGTTTGAGTTAATTACACAATACTACTTATACAGTGTTATATAATAATACTGTTCCAGCTTACATACAAATTCAACTTAAGGAGAGACTTTGGAACGGAACTCATTCTTAAACGGGGGACTGCCTGTCTCTAATTATTTCTAAAGTATAGAACCACAACTGTAAATTAACTGTCTATAATCTTTTGCCCACATGTATATTGTACTCTGATCTAGCAAAGACTGAATTCCATTATGGAAATAAATTTGTCACAAGTAGAATGAAACTTTAAGTGACCCCTGTTAATAGAAAAAATAGTTCTATATAATGGTTAATAAGATTATTTTTGTAGGTGATGATGGAGATGCAGATGAAGAGGAGGAGGAACAGGAAGAGGAGGAGGAGGAAGGAAAGCATATCAACACAAAAGCATATTCAGATGGACCACCATTAAAACGGACAAAAACACACTCCTGATGGAAACTGTAAAACTTTTTTTTTTTACAATATTAAAATTCCAACACTATGAAACTTTCTCCTTTAAAAAAATTTAAAGGCTGTTTTGATGACCAGAAAAAACAATGGTTTAAAATTGTTAAATAAAGTGCAATTTCTTATTTGTCATTTGAAATTATTCAACAAGAAAATGGCATGTATGAGCGAGGAAAAGAGGAGTAAAGTTGAAAGCACCCTGTGTGCTTGGGAAAGAAGGCAGCACTGGAAATACTGGAGCAGCTGCTGCCAGGCAAAAACAGCCCCCTCCACACACACCCCCGGCAAGGGTAGACTCAGCTAATTCCCCCCATCAAGAGTTTTACAGCCCAGCCTCTACCAGAAAACCTCAGGGAGAAGCACTCAGTGCCTCCCCAGCTTGCTGAGGAAGAGGCAAACTGACCAGCACATCACCCACAGGCATCCACACCAACATCCAGAGCGTTGGCCACACCTAGCTATTTAACTGGCATTACATCTACAGCTGGTGAATTTAGCCACACCCTGGCTTTTTCAAGGTCCATAGGAAGCCAGGTTAGCACACCTCACCCACCCACACTTTCAGGCTAGAAAAGGGAAAGCCAAACCAGAGGGTGTGGGTGTGAGCCAGAGAAGAGGAGGAGATGGCAAGCAGATGGAGGGAGGGGGAAAACATACTGAGACTTGCAAGATTGTTATCAGCCCTTCTAGATAGACCAGGCTAAGAAACCAAAGTTTTGCACACTAATGCTACTTTTATTATAAGGTTACAGTAACAGAATTTTAAAACCCTGAATGTACTTCCCCTCTCTCCCTTTATCTTCATGAGAACTAGAGAGGGTTTCTTCTGAGCAGCTTACTCAGGTTACGGTTCCAGCCAGGACTCAGATTTCTTTTATTTGACTGTTGTCTTGGTTGTGGCGAGGTTTTCCCTTCTGCCCATTATTTTTCCTTCTGCCCACCCTGCTGATGTCTTAAAGGGCCTTGAAGACCTGGCTTTTTGCCCAGGCCTTTGGTGAGGGTGAGTGAAGCCCCCTTTGGACTATGTGGATTTCTTTTTGTTCCTACCCAGAGTTCTTTTGTCACCCTTCCTTCTTTGTCTACTGATGTATTTTTTCTTATTTTTAATGTTTTTTATTTGTAATCTCCCAGCGTTGTTGGGAGTCAGGCAGCATATACAGTGGGGCAAAAAAGTATTTAGTCAGCCACCAATTGTGCAAGTTCTCCCACTTAAAAAGATGAGAGAGGCCTGTAATTTTCATCATAGGTAGAGAGCCAGACATCTTGCTTGTTTGTAGGTGACCAAATACTTATTTTCCACCATGATTTGCAAATAAATGGGGGAAAAGTCCAGAAAATCACATTGTCTGATTTTTAAAGAATTTATTTGCAAATCATGGTGGAAAATAAGTATTTGGTCACCTACAAACAAGCAAGATGTCTGGCTCTGGGGGAAAAGTCCAGAAAATCACATTGTCTGATTTTTAAAGAATTTATTTGCAAATCATGGTGGAAAATAAGTATTTGGTCACCTACAAACAAGCAAGATGTCTGGCTCTGGGGGAAAAGTCCAGAAAATCACATTGTCTGATTTTTAAAGAATTTATTTGCAAATCATGGTGGAAAATAAGTATTTGGTCACCTACAAACAAGCAAGATGTCTGGCTCTGGGGGAAAAGTCCAGAAAATCACATTGTCTGATTTTTAAAGAATTTATTTGCAAATCATGGTGGAAAATAAGTATTTGGTCACCTACAAACAAGCAAGATGTCTGGCTCTGGGGGAAAAGTCCAGAAAATCACATTGTCTGATTTTTAAAGAATTTATTTGCAAATCATGGTGGAAAATAAGTATTTGGTCACCTACAAACAAGCAAGATGTCTGGCTCTGGGGGAAAAGTCCAGAAAATCACATTGTCTGATTTTTAAAGAATTTATTTGCAAATCATGGTGGAAAATAAGTATTTGGTCACCTACAAACAAGCAAGATGTCTGGCTCTGGGGGAAAAGTCCAGAAAATCACATTGTCTGATTTTTAAAGAATTTATTTGCAAATCATGGTGGAAAATAAGTATTTGGTCACCTACAAACAAGCAAGATGTCTGGCTCTGGGGGAAAAGTCCAGAAAATCACATTGTCTGATTTTTAAAGAATTTATTTGCAAATCATGGTGGAAAATAAGTATTTGGTCACCTACAAACAAGCAAGATGTCTGGCTCTTTTTTTCTCATTTTGTCTCTCATAGTTGAGGTATACCTATGATGAAAATTACAGGCCTCTCTCATCTTTTTAAGTGGGAGAACATGCACAATTGGTGGCTGACTAAATACTTTTTTGCCCCACTGTACGTCGTCGTCATCGTAGTAGTATAACTGCTTGAACAGTATAAATACAGATCATTTGCAAGGATTAAAAACTTTAGACTGAGAATGGGGAACCTTCTGTTGTGCTCAAATTTCTATCTGTCTGAGTTATCAGAAATGATGGCATTTGTAGTTAGACACTGTTTGAAGATTCATTGTTTCCCCATTTGTACACCCATGGAACCTTCCCAACAGCATCTCCGTGATCTTACAGCTCTCAGAAATAGTCAATATTCAGAATATTGCTGCTGACATCTGCAGATTGGGTTTCTATGACTAGAAGAGTTATGTTCATAGGACATAATTTATTTCTAACTATTTTGTATAAACTATTCTGTCTTTGCAATAATGCAGGTACTTGGTCAGAGAATGGAATACTAAATATCAACTTGTTTTTCTGAAACATGAGTAGCAATTATGCATATATTTAAAGAGAAATTGTGCAGAACTAAAATATATGAAAAAAATAAAAGGCTAATTTTCTTTTAATCATATTGTGTGCAAAAGGAACCCCATTTTATTTAGTGCAACATCATCAAAGAAGAAAGGACAACAATGTCTCAAATGCCACATTTATAATAATTCCAAGGTTTACGCATTATAAACATAGGCAAAGTCAATTTTTAGCAATTCCCTTACAGGAAACTTGAAGATTTGAGGGATGCACAGTGAATTAGGGTTTCAAATATATTTTACTCTAAAATCTTCAGGTGGAGTGTAGAAATTCTGCATCGTAAGGCAAATATGAAGAATGTTACCCTCTGTTCTCAAAGAACTTTTCACCAAATAGAATACCTCCATAGTTAAAATCATCTTATTTAAAAAAATAGAAGATTGGTAGGTGCTCTGTTCAGAAGTTAATGTTGACAAAAGTATTTCAAGTTTCTTTCAGATATTCAACTGATCTTCAACTTATCAAAAACCAGCCATGGGGAGACGGGGAGAAAACCCACATTGATTTCCTTACGTGTCAATCAGTTGCACTCTGCTGATTTGATTGGAGGCCTTCGCAAACGTATGATGACGATTGCAAACCACAGCCAAACAGACAGGAATGATGCAGTAGCCCACTGTTTTAGGATCAGCCCTCGTACATGAATAAAGGAACAAGAACATTTGTAAATAAGGTATTAAAAAGATAATGGCCCACAGCCAAAAGGGTACAGACAGAAGCCGTGTTTTTAAAGAATGCATCCAATTGGTTTCTTGCTTAAATTTCTCTGGGGGTTGCTGAATGTGCTCCAGCGCCAGTCGGTTGTAAGTCTCATTGATTTCGAAGACATAGTAAAATGCTGCAGCGCTTGCTATTAGATACAGTCCCACACCAATCCATCCCATCCTCTGACGGAAGTTCATCATTCTCCATGCTCTGCACCTTAAAAAACAAAAATAATTAGCCACTGTGAGAAGAAGTAACGTGCAGCGTTATACAATAAGAGTTGCTTGGTATAGGCATAATAAGCAATTTTTTGTTTTTAAGATATTCTATTGATGGTAGCAAGATACGTGATATTAACTATGCCTGCAATATGGTAACTGCAGAATGTTTCCTTTTCAGCAGAAGAGAAAGGGATGAAGTTTTCAACTTAGTACACAAAGAACCCAAATGGACAGTTCGAGCTTTATTTATACAGCAGGCTTTTGAACTACTAATTAGCTTACATCATATTCTCACACACTGTCACACATTTAAGCCTCCCCCAAACCCTATAAACTAACTCAGAGAAGCAATTAACAGAGTTTTAAATTATTTGGATAGTTAAATCTAGCTCTCCTGAGCCAAAGGTTAACACAATTGTCTGCACAGAGATTATTATATCACTTAGGACAAAGTTAAACTGGAAAACTATAGCATTGTTAATACTGTTGTGGAAATACCCACAAGAAAATGCCAGTTCCTAGCTATGTCCAATTACCAGACTCAGGATTGTGCCCATAAAACCAACTCTTACTATCTAACGGGCAGATGTATGTATCCCATCAGAACATCATTGTTAAGCATTGTTACTGGATATGCCTTAAAGGAGCTTGCATTACTGTTTGATGACTGGTTGCATAGGATGACTGCCCCCCCCCCAGTTAAGCACTTGATTCTCCTCCCTAAATAGTGCTGCTGCAATAGACTTGAGGGGTGGGCAAAAGGATGAATCTAAATCTCTTCCTTATGATTTTAGTAGGAGCTTCTCCATAAGACGGAGGAAGAACAAGACAAAGACCAGATGTATCAGAAGGTGAAGAAGATACGTTAAAGACAGGCAAAGCCGAAGAAGGAATGCAAGAATTTGGTTTCTTTTCCAAATTAGTAATAGTACATTTCATACTAATAATCTGCATATCTTGTTTATTTTTGGTCATTAGATCTTCCCAAATATATTAATCATCCATTTTGCTAGGGAGATTCATTTTCTATAAAGCCCTGTAAGTAAAATAATTTATCATGATCTAAAGATTTTTCTGGTAGCTACATTAAAGATAGATTTTTATATGTATAGGTTGGCCAACTTTTTTGATACAAAGTAGTTCAGCACTTGGTTGCCACCTGAAGGCTTTAACTGCAACATCCAGAGGGGTTCCAGGAATTACTTTAAAGCCACCTGAACCCATATTTAATATCACTTTAGCTTAGGACTATCTTGGAACACTTTAAACTTTTTAAGAAATTATTTCCTCAGCCTCTACCTACTTCCTGACTTCCTGACCAACACAAAGATCCACTTTTAGACAACAGCAAAAGCAAACTTCGCTGGATCCTAATGCACTTCTGGGTGCAATTCAAGGTGTTGGTTATCACCTATAACGCCCTTCATGGCATGGAACCAGGTTATTTGTGAGACTGCCTCTCTCCAATTGTTTCTACCTTTCCAATGAGGTCCAGCAGGGAAGGCATGCTGTGGGTCCGGTTGATTAAAGAATGTCACCTTGCAGGATCCTGAAAGCGGGCCTTTTCTGTCACAGCACCTGCCGTGTGGAATGCCATACCCTCCAAGATTAGATGTGCCCTAACCCTGCCAGCTTTTCAGAAAGCTCTGAAGATGTGGGCATGTAGCTTTGCATAATTTCTCTCAATAAATAAATGAACAAGTATAATGTTCTTGACTCATTGGTTTAATTGGTTCTCTTTATCTAGTTGTGGGACTTGCATGGAGAACAATCATGTTTTAGGTCATATTTATGAAGAAATATTGAAAATTCAATATGATTCACAAACTTTTAAGCATCACTGTATATGGATGCAAAGCTATTAATATAGATGCCGGTCACAGGTGCTGGTGAAACGTTAGGAAACAAAACTTCCAGAACACGGCCACACAGCCCGGAAGACCCACACCAGCCATCTATTAATATAATACTGACTCAGTGGGACCATATAAGGCTACACAGCAAATGTACAGAGTTTGAAATTATGTCCACTGTGCCCTTTAAAAGGGAATACACAGAAATTGTATTCCATAAGATGGCAACTAAAGTCCATGAGATCCCAGACTGACACAGCTTTCTATAATCATAAACAGCCAATAATATCTCTATGCCTGTATATGCCTGCAATTGCATAGAAGCATTAGCATAGATTCAACTATAATCACAGTAACATTTATTCCATATTGGCCAATAAAGCTTCATGGAGTTCTCAGCATGGTTCTTTAATAAGCCATTGCAAACATACATTTCTCAGGCGGGAAAAAAAACCCTCCTTCCCCCATTTTTTCTGGTAAAATCTTTACAGAATGTCAAATCTGATATAAGAGCTATTTATGTGAAGGAAAAACTGACTATACAAACTAGTCATTTGAGTCTACATTGTTCCAAACTAGTGACTATCCAGGAAATTTATTTTCCTGACTCAACCAGTTATCATTAAAATTAATTAGGAAGTAATCTAGAATCACTTATAAATGCTGTTTAATTATAAAGAATTATAATTGTCCTTCTGCTTTTTGCCTACTAATATTTAATATCATTATTAGTCTTCCTTCTGAATCAATGTTTCTATAAAAATGAAATACTGATGAAGTAGTTTGCTACTTCTGATAGGCAATGACTTGGCTATCAAGGGTATCTTTCTATAGGAGAGGAAACTGCTTGTCTAGAGATTTTCTAATATGGTTTTCCAAATCTCATCCAAGACAGGAGCCAAGTATTGGGAAGAAATTCTGCTTGATCTCTAAACATCTAGCATATATACTATGATTACTGTACAGGTAGTCCCCAGTTTAAGAATGAGTTCCATTCGAAAGGTCTGTCCTTAAATTGAATTTGTATCTGGCTCCCAAGAGCCAAGAGATGTAGTATGTGTAAAAAAAATCCCACCTCATCTTAATTCTAAAGAGACTTTAAATGGTTCTTTCTGTGAAAATAACAAATAAACAACAGCTTACCTGAATCTCTTACTGTGACAGATATACTGTACGTCCAGGAAAATATCTGGAAGATCAGTCTTATCAGTCCAACCTCCCATCCAGTCATGGTCAATCAAGCTTAGCCCAGTTTCTTTCAAGTAAAATGTTTCTATTTCCCCTAGATTGATATTTTTCCAGTATTTTTTGCTAGGCTAAACAAAATATATAAAGAAGACCAAACTAATGACAACAGGTAGAATAACCAGCCTTAGAATTGACAGTGAAGATACTGAAGTGGTGGGTAGCTTCTGCCTTTTAGAATCAACCACCAATAGTAAAGGAACAAGCACTTAAGAAATATGGCATAGACTAGCACTTGGTAGAGCAGCCATGAAGGCCTTGGAAAAGATATTTTATGGAAGCAAAAGTTGAACTTTAAAGAACCAGGATAGGAAGGGTATTGATGCTTTTGAACTTTGGTGTTGAAGAAGACTCCTGAGAATACTGTGGACAGTCAAGAAAACAAACTGATGGATCATAGAACAAATCAACCCAGAGTTGTCACTCAAGGCACAAATGACCAGGCTCAAATTATCCTAATTCTGACACATTATGTGAAGACTTAGCTCTCTAGAGAAGGCCCTAATGCTGGGAAAGCTGGAAGGAAAGAGAAGAAGAGGATGACCAGCACCAAGGCAGATGGACTCAGTTACAGTGGCGATGAGTGCACCATGGGGAAGCCTGAAAGAACAGGTTTAGGGACAGATCATAATGGAGAAGATCTACCTATATGGTCGCTATGAGTCAAAACAACTTGATGGCACATAATCTACAACTAGTCTTCCAAGACAGCAGATGGACACTTTCCTAACAAAGCAGAAATGAATATGCCAGAGCCCAAACCTCTAATTTTATTCCTTCCAACTTTCCAGAGAAATCCAAAAAGACTTTAAGCCTGACTGAGAGAAGCCATAAATTGCTTCCTTAATGAAAATTTATTACAGAGAAAAATTCACATTATTACAGAACATTTAAAAAATTTACCAGATAGAACAACAGTTGTCTCCTGCTCCAAAAAGCCAACCCTCTGTGCTTCTCACCTGGAGCAGATTTGCAAGGACAAAAGTGAAGTTTTTTATGAGCTATTGTGTGAAGATCCCAACCTAGGAAGGTAGAAAAAGGATCTCACAGCTTTGCTCATTCCATTTTAAATCATTTTTATTATTTAGTGGCCTGAATCCAGGCCTCCTATATTATCCAATTACTCTTTTGACTGTTGCAATGGGACATTAGGAAAGATAATCTGTGGAGTTCTTGGTGCTCTCTGAGCTTGGTTGTTTGCTTGCAGACATTTCATTACCAAACTAGGTAACATCATCAGTGTGATTGAAGTTTGCTTCAAAAAACTTGCCCTGCCAGTTTTGGTGTGGGTTTCCTTCTTGGTGGTATCTTGGTTAGGGTATTGTTTTCTGCCTGTTTGTCTGGAGCTGATGCCTGCCTATTTGAGTGTTGGCTGCTGGAGGGGATGTGTTCTAGACTTTTTGTTTCCTTCCTAGGTTTTTTATTGTCTCTAGAGATATTATGTTTGTGTTTTTTTTTCTTTTATTTTCACTTTCTTTTTTTAATGGTGCCTAATAACAGAGGATAAGACAACACAGAGTCTCCAAGGTCTCCTTTTTTTTAACCCTCCCTTCTGGATTCCTATACTGTATACGGGTAGTTTACATTTAGCAACCACAATTGGGATTGGTAACTCTGTCACTAAGCACCACAGTCACTAAGTGGAAGATCACATGACCACAATGAACTTATGTCATTTCCCATTTGGCTGTTAAGCAAGTCACCATGGTCATTAAGTAAGACATCACATGACCGTGACCGGCCATTTTACTTCCGCATTCTCCATTAACTGCTTGTCATAAGCTGGTTGGGAAGCATGCAAATGGCGATCATGTGACTGTGCAATGCTGCAATAGTCGTAAATGCACACTGGTTGCAAAGTGCCCAAATAGCGATCACGTGACACTGTGACAGTTGTAAATGCAAAGGTTGGTCACAAAGTGTTTTTTTTTTTACACCGTGGTAATTTCAAACAGTCACTTATCAAGGCAGTTGGTAACTGAGGACTACCTGTATGGTTTACCTTCTCTAACCCTCTACTCCTTCTCTCACTTTTGCCAACAGCCAGTATTTCTCAATCACTCACAGCTCCCCACTGCCACATTTTGACTAAAAGAATCAAGAAATCTGAGGTCAAACACCACACAACTTCAATAGCCAAGCTTCTAACTCCTAGTCAAACCTCAACTCTCCTCCTTTTCGGTCAGTATTCTGCACTACTTGACCCTACTTTTGTGGATATTTTAATAAACATTTGGGGGGGCAGTGTTGGGCTTCACGGTTTAGTGACCATGGACTAGAGAACAGATTTCCTAACATTTCACCAGCAACTGTGGCTGGCATCTTCAGAGGCAAAGCAGTCTGCTATGCAGACCACAGACAACTAAGCAGGGACTGACTGGTCTCCTGTCTTTATAGCCAGGTGTCCTGACTTTTGACTGGCCTTTAGCTGAGCTGGTTTCTGAGTGGTGCAGGTTGGTGAGGATTTTTTTTGGGGGGGGCTGCTTATCTCCCCAACTACAGCCATTACAATTTGTTCAGTTTTTGCTGTTTGCCTTTACTATTGTAATTCTCTTGCTACAGAATATTCTATATGTATATGTGCTTCTTATGACAGTATAGTGTAGTGGTTTTAAGGTCCTGATCCTGGTCTGGCAGACTCCAGTTCAGCTCCTTTCAACTATGGAGCTGACTGGGTGATTTTGGACACATCATTCACTCTTAGCTCAACCTATCTCACAGGTAATTGTGAGAATTTTATATAGGTAGGTAGATAGAGATATAAACACACAGATACATTAAAAAAAAATCTTTTACTTTGAAGAGAATGTATGTGTGGTAGTTGAGTATGAATTCACATTCATTTTCAGCCTTTGTTTAAAGATCCCTTAGCAAATATTATGAGATGTCTTCACATTTCAACTATATTCCTACATATTATCTGGTAACAATGCCCCCATAATAGCACATAGATAACAAATGTTCAGAGCTAGCAGTTATAAGAGTATCTGCCTATCGAAGAATGATGTTTATTATAGTACACGCTTCTGTTTCATTATAGCAGGATTACAGGACTGAATTATATAGCTCCATTTTATGCAAGATATAGACCACCTTCCAAAGTATACTAGTAACAGAATTGTGATTATTTAAAAGGGCTCACCAAGCAATTAGTGGGTGCTTATGACATTAATTACTTGATTATTAAAGTCTCATTTGTTTTTCATGGGGGGGGTATGAGACATCTTTCATCTAGTTTGAAAAGCAGGGAAATTATGTGTAAAAAGATTTTTAACAGAAATGGCTGTTTTTTTCTGAAGTTAACTAAAACTGAAGGGCTAGTATGCAATGGCTAAAGTGAGATTATAACAAAAAGAATCAGGGATATCAGTGTTCCTTTTTATCTGAAGAAAACCAAAGTATTGATGCAATACTATATAGTTCTGACCATTCACCAAACACTTAACAATACTGCAGCATACTTAAATTCTGTAACCAGTGGAATTTGTTTTACATTATCACCCCCTCTATTTTCAACATACAAAGAGGCATATTATTACCAGCTAGGAATGGCTATCAGTATCACTCAACCTAGTATGATTATGAGAGCTACTGGCATATGTTGGTCAGAAGAGTGAGATGTTGAACCAATCCTTATTCCTGCCATGAATCATTGCAACATGCTAAATTAATTGCAGAACCTTAGCAATACGTGGGTTTTGTAGCTATTTTTTTTAAAAAAACCTTTTCTTTTGGTTTCAGTATATAAAGGCACAAGTGGCCTTAGTTAACTGTCAAAGAAAGTTTGAATTTTTCTCCAAACTAGGAACATACTGAATTTAGAATGAATGATATGAATGTATATATAAAACCTGCTTTCATCTTTCAGAAAAAAAACCCACAATTAGACATTACATCAAAGGAAATACCAATAATTTAAAGCAAACATGTTTTAAAGCGCTTACTGTTTAAACATGGATACAGTATTAATTACTGTATAGACTCCCATCTTTAATTTAGCAGCATGTTTGTGAGCATACTGTAATGGTTCTAATTCTAATTCTGTGTTTCTAGGAAAACAGATCAATGTTTATTAGCAATAATAGCTATGAAAAACAAATGAGAGGGGAGGGAAATACTGCGCTCTATTTCTGAGCTCCCAGAAGTATCTGATTGGCTACTTGAAGTAACTTGAGTGTTGTCTAAATAGATGTTGGCCTGATTCAAAATGCAATTCTAACGTTTTCACATTCGTTTAGGTTTATAATAAAATGCTGCATATTAGGGTCATCATTATCAAACTTGGCCTTTGTTTTTCAAAATGGCTGCAAGAGATTTCAGATTAACAATCTTTGCTTTGCAGTCATTATCCTAAGAAACTAAGCATCCAAGAAACCAATCCATCAGATTTACCTGATTTTGCTTATATAGGAACAAAGCTACTTACATTTTAAAACAGTGTAAAAATTGTTTCAAGGACAATTCTAAAGCACAGTAATTAAAGTCCAACCCTTCAGACCAACTGACCTGTATTGCAACTTATCTGCACTGCAGTTCTAGGTAATCATTTCATTGTGAAGTTTATGTACTTTTGCACAACTTAATATAAACTGTGGATAGAGTTTAAGGTCATATGACTGAATTGTAATATCACAGTCATTAACTTGGAAAGCCCCTATTTCAACTTTTACTTCAGACACATTCCTTACAGCAGAGGTCTTTAGTCTTATACACAGCACTGTCGTTTCTGTTTGCTGCTGTATTTGAGACTGAGGGGCAATCTGAGCAATCATTAAAATGTGCCCTAAATGCTGAACTATTTCACCAGCACAAACAGAAAACAATCATCTTAGGGCAGCACTACAGGAACTTTACTCTAGTTTTACAGCATACTTTTACTTGAAACATGTAGCATTAACCCAATCTGTTCCAGGGTTTGATTTACAGATTTTGCCTCCAATGCTAATGGAAATATTGATTAAAAAGGGATAACCCTGCTGTACTAAGTATCAGGATTCACCAGAAGTTACGGCTATAGAAAACAAAGACAATACTGAATATAATAGTGTTCTGAACAAATCTGGATTAATTCTTAACTTCTCTACCAACCACCCTGAATTCACCCCTCTTATCACAATATGAGGAAGAGTCTATCAGTAAAGGTGAAGTACTCAGGAATTCTGGTGTCCCTTTATTACATATATATTAATCCCATTTTTCTTCCAAATTGATTAATATAGAGATACCAAATAGTGTTATAAAACTTCATTATATGTTTTTCATCTTACCTACAGAAGATGGATACCATAAAGGTATCACTTTGCATACAGGTAGTCCTTGATTTATGACCATTCATTTAACGACTGTTTGAAGTTACAGACAATGAAAAAAGTGACTTATGACCAGTCCTTGCACTTACAACCATGCAGCATCCCCATGATTAAAATTCAGGCGCTTGGCAACCAGCATGTATTTATGGCAGTTGCAGCATCCTGGGGTCACGTGATCGACATTTGTGACCTTTCCAGGGGGCTTCCAACAAGCAAAGTCAATGGGGGAAGCCAGATTCACTTAATGACCATGGCAAAAAGGTCTTAAAATCAGGTGTGACTCACTTAATGACCACATTGCTTAGAGATGGAAGTTCTGATCCTAATTGTAGTAAGTCGGGGACTACCTGTACAATATCTACAATCCACGGGCAGTATTTATATTCTGTAAGAGTGACACAGAACCATTTAGGTGAGGTGGTTAGGGCATCATGCTAGAAACCGGAAGACTGAGTTCTAGTCCTGACTTAGACACAAAGCTGACTTTAGACACAAAGGGTGACCTTAGGCCAGTCCTTCTCTTTCAGCCCTAGGAAGGAGGCGATAGCAAGCCACTTCCGAAATCTTGCCAAGAAAACGGCAGGGACTAGTCCAGGCAGTCACCAGAAATCAACACTGACTCGAAGGCACACATACACAAAAGAGTGACACAACAGTTATAATCTTTCATAAGATTTCAAAGCCATCTATATCATCTCCAACTAAAACAAATAATACTGTATTAGAAAAGTTACAAAAAACTTTGAAGTTATATTGCCACCATTTATCATTTGTATCTTATCTGCCATGTGTTTTTTCAGTTAAACCACATTAATGGTTCTTTCTCCTAAATATTGATCTTTATCTACACTGAGTTTCTACTATGCTATCCTTTAAATGTAGCACACTTGTCCAACGCTTGGTCAATGACCAAGCCTACAGTAGTACCTCGGGTTACGAATTTAATCCGTTCCGTGACTCTGGTCGCAACCTGATTTGTTCGCACCCCGAAGCAAATTTTCACATAACGTTCAATGTAATTACCATTAATCCGTTCCAGCGTCCGCGGACCACGCGTCAAGGGTGGAAAAACAGCCACGGACCGCACGGCAGGGCGGAAAAACGGCCGCGGACCGCATGGCACGGGCGGAAAAATGCCCGTGGACCGCGTGGCATGGGCGGAAAATGGCTGCAGACCATGTGGCACGGGCGGAAAAATGGCCGCAGACCACGTGTCACAGCGGAAAATGGCCGCGGATCCGGTTCGTACCCCAAGGCGGAGTTCGCAAACCGAGGTAAATTTTTGCAGCCAGAGCTGGTCATAGACCACGTGTCACAGCGGAAAATGGCCGCGGATCCGGTTCGTACCCCAAGGCGGAGTTCGCAAACCGAGGTAAATTTTTGCAGCCAGAGCTGGTCATAACCCGAAAGGTTCGTAAGCAGAGGCGTTCGTAACCCGAGGTACCACTTTAAATATACAGCCTGTGAGAAACGTATTAATTCAATACCAATATTACAACAGGACACACTTCCACTGCTAGCAATGCAGTGGTGGGGAGTTGAATTAATAATTCAGTCCAAAAGGTAACTTTTTTTCTCACCCTTCCATAAACTGTAAAGAATTTTCCCTCTTCATAGCACACCTCTTCAAAGTAAGTGAATATCAAGTGTCCTTGAGGTTGAGCTCCCTTCCCTCTAGTAATGTTATGGATATGTCTTATGCTGCTTTTCTTGGCAGCAGAACAGAAATAATTGGCCGCTGCCTTCTTCTGGGATTTTCTTTTTTGCAATTTCCCACTCAAGCCTATAATCCGGAGACTTCTTGGTGGTCTCCAATCCAAGTACTAACTAGAACCGATCCTGCTTAATTTTTCGAGATCAGCCAAGCTCAGCTCCCCGTATGTCTTCCCTATCTGCCATGTTTAACTACCTCCCAAGAACAGAGGTATATATGGAAAAATAAAACTCCATCCAAGGGCTGAGCAAAGATAGATCCCTCCTCCGAGAGGAAAACCCGAGAGATCCCACCTTCCAGGGTAAGAATTGCAAAGGAGAAGACCAGGACTGAAGGACTTCCACCGCCCTCGTTCCTCTCCTCCGCGGTCTCTCTCCTACCCCCCAAATTCGACCAGACTGAAGGCTGGCCTCTGGCACCTCCTCCACACGGCAGAATCCATGCAGTATGGATCGAGCGTGCCCCGAAGCGAGCGCAGAGCGCCTTCTCCTCACCGCCACCGTTGGGGTCTCAGGAGGAACTAAAAGTTGCCAGGTGCCCAGGGGAGGGGCTCCCATGCAATTCGGAGCGCCACCCCTCCTCCTCGGGGAGAGGCTCCGCTACCGGCCTCTCCCTGCCGACCCGCGCCAGCCAGGCTGCCGCATTCCGAACCCGCTCCCTCCACGGCTTACCTTCCTCCGCCAGGAAACACGGGAGCAAACAAGAGGGAGGCGGAGGGCAGGAGAGGGGGTCCGAGGCAGGGCCGTCCGCCCAATCACATCGTCATCTGCGCCGCGTCCGAGGGCGGGAGCGCAGCGCTTCGCCTCTCAGGCCACGCTCCGGATCCCTCCGGTGCCGAGCCCCACCATCCGCTTTGTCCCCGGCCGAAGACCCGCCCTCGCCTCCCTCTACTTCCGGGTGGCGCGCGAGGGCCGCCTGCTGCCGCGGCTGCCATCTCGGGGGGTCCGCGCCTGAGCCTGGAAGGGCGGGTCGCCCAGTCCTTGACCCGCTGGAGGCGGAGGGTCCTGAGCCCCGCCTCGGATGTGCGAGTGGGCTTTTTCTTGCTTTCTTTCTTTCTTTCCTTTCTTTCTGCGAGCGAGCGAGCCAGGCTTCCTTCTTACGTGGGGGAAGGGGGGACGGGTGGTATCTCCCCCACCCCTTTGTGCGAGGAGGGCGAGGGGATTCCCGAGGATCAGTAGAGAAGCCTAGCATTCCGATGCCGCAGCCGCCTGGAGGTCGCTCCGTTTCGCTCCTTACACATAACAGGATTTTATTTTTTAAAAAACTTAATTTCTTTGCGAATGGGTACTGTGGGTTAATTTAGCTAAAGAAATAGAGTTTTCTAGCGTTTTTCCCAAGAATTGGAGGGGCGAGAGAAAGAGAGGCTCGTATCTGCGTTTGTGTGTTTATGTAATTTTTGCAGGTTGAGAATACTCCATTGTTATATTCACTTTGCAAGGAAGACTGGGTCCCGACAGAATGGCTCGCAAAATATCTGTAATATTGCTTTTCTTTTTCTTATCACTATAAGGTGTGTGGATGGAGGAGAGAGTTTCTGCCAGGTGGTACAGTATTATGATCATATTTCAGATGGGGTAATCTTGAGAATGTGGAAAGACCAGGTAATAGTGTTAGCACTGTCTTCTGTGGAGATGGTATGAAAATGAGAACAGAGCTGGCGCTCTCAAAATAATATTGATATCAGAAGCAGTCGGGTGTAATAAAGATCAGTAAGAGCAACAAGAACAACAAATCTTTAGCTATTATAAGTTTATAAACTGCTTGACATCCAAGAAACATCTGGGGCCAAAACAAAACGACCTAGAACAGAATTGCCTATGTCCCAGCAGTTAAATCAACCAAAATCACAAATAATAGGACTAGGAGACCTTGATGCAAAAAAGAGCCAAAATAATCATGGGAACCACATTTTTCTATCTGTTACAGGGAAAAAATCCATGTACAGGTATTCCTCGGCTTATGATGGCAATTGGGACCAGAATTGCCATCACTAAGTGATGCAGTCGTAAAGCATGATGTCATGTGACTGCATCCCTTGGCAACGGCAATTCCAGCAGTCCTGGTTGCAGTTGTTAAGCAAGGACTGCACATGACCACGACTTGTGACCTCCTGCCAGCTTCCCCATTGACTTTGCTTGTGGGAAGTTGGCAGGGAACATCAGAAATTGCAATCTTGTGACCACTGGGATGCCGCAACAGCTGAAACTCCAAAGACCTATCATAAGTTCCCCTTGTTTAGTGCCATCGTAATTTTGAACAGTTGGTGAACAAATGGTTGTAAGTCAAGGACTACCCGTATGATAAAAATAGCCTGGAACACCCACTTTTGAGGCAGACAACCCAACCAAATTCAGTCATACATGGAGAGGATTGGATAAAATAAGCCCAAAAGCTTTCACAGGAGCCATAGTCTACTAATTGTTCCAGACAAAAAATCTATACTTAAAAAATTGTCAAGATTGCCCACTTTCCAGCCAGTCAAATCAACCAACCTTATCGCTCGTAGAACTGGAGGGTCTTGAAGAGATGAACTTCTGTGGGAACTGTGTTCTGTCATCTATTTCTGGGACACGGTGGTGCAGGGCTTAATGACCCTGGAGTTTGCCAGTCAGAAATGGTCGGCACTCCGGCGGTTCAGGCCCGGCTCCGCGGGATGGGGTGAGCTCCTGTCCCTTCTCCTAGCTTCTGCTCACCCAGCAGTTCGAAAGCTATTCCA